CGACGTGAGGCCGAGCATTGTCGTGTTGGAGGATGACTTTGTCATGTCGCTCTTGATATTGTGGCCGCTTTTCTTTTAGCGCGCGACTAAGGCGCATCAGTGGCGTTCGGTAGCGATCTCCTGTGATGGTTTCACCTGCTTTTAAGAGCTCGTAGTAAATCACACCGAGCTGATCCCACCAAATACAAATCATAACCTTGGCTCCGTGAATATTCGGTCTTGCCTTCGACGAAGAGGTATGCCCGGGCTTTCCCAATGATTTTCAGCGTTTAGGATTATCGTATCGAACCCACTTTTCATCACCGGTTACGATTCGATGTAAAAACCCCTTACGATTTTGTTTTTGAAACAGAAAAGTAAAACTTCCCGCAAATGGCGGGAATTAGGCACATAAACGGACATTTTCGAGCGTGAATAATACGAAAACAAGAACAACTGTCACTGAAACGGCGATGACAATTCGTTAGGCACTGTCCACACTCACTTTAAAGGCATTATCATCTATGTATTTCGACCAGCCTCAGCCGGTACAGCCACCTATCGGAAAACGGCGGAAGAAAAGTTGTACACCTGATATACTTTGCTCTTTTGTGAAAATATGTACATACGAGGTGTGACAATTAAGTAATGATACTGATTCCGTTATTAGCGTATTTTTTTTGCCATTCCCTTTAAAGTAGTCCCCTTGGACAGCTATACAACGATTCAAGCGCGTTTTACATGCTTCGACTGCGATATCCACGACTACTCTCGTCCCTGCCGTCTGGATGTACTCAATCGACTCAAAATGAATTCCTTTTGACCACCGATTTTGTTCTAGGGAACAAAAAAAGACGCAAGGTGACATGTCGGGAGAATAAGGCGGCGCGAAACACCCACATGCCACTGTGTTGCCGCCTCCATGTTTCGCGGTTTGCTTCACATGATGCCTTTGATGCTTGTCACCAGGTCTCCGCCAAGACTATTGCTTTCTATCCAATTGAAAACGATTAAACTGAGATTCGTCCGACCAGATAACACGTTTCCAGTCTTGTATTGTCCAGTTCTTGTGTTCCTTGGCGAATTTTAGCCGAGCCTTAACATTTTTCTCGGATAAAGCTGGTTTGTTTTTTTTTTCACTGCTGCGACGTTCCCGAACCTACCAAGCGCTCTTCTAGCTGTCTATCGACTTACGCTTTTATTTATTTCCTTAGAAGCTTCTTTTGGCGTTTAAACTTTTTTTCAGCACAAGCATATTGTCTTTTCTGCACCTTGACAACCAATGATTGACTAATTTGCAGCTTCTCAGCAATAGTGCGTGTCGAACACGTCAGCGAGATAATACCATTTTCTTTATCAGAAGACAGCTACTTAATTTTTCCGTGAATAGTCATAGACTAAGTTCCAAATACAACAAATCAACTATAAACTAGTGGAAAAGAGTGATTTTCTGAATTCTGACAACGAATAATAAATGCGAAAGGTACTTAACGGTAAATCTGTAGGTCTATTGCTGATAAGAAAGTAAGAAGAGCAAAAATATGAGTGAATAACAGATGGTGCAAAGTTGAGTACAAAGCCGTTTGTTTTTGTTTTTAAACCACAACTATTTCATTTCTTCTTTTTCTATTTTGCTATATACGCCTAATTGTAAAAATACAACAAGATGTTCAATAAAAAAAAAGTTTTTGCAATTTACTTTATTCGTTTAATATTTATGTGAGCTCAAATATGAAAGCTTTGATCGTGGAATCACTTTTGCTCCCCACTGTATGTACATCAGTAGGTTTTCTTAACTTGTTACTCATACGCCCCGACAAACAGCGGCCATAGAATCCAAACTAAATCGATTTATAATAAACCGTCCCTTCATTCGTTGGAAAATTAACTTAAAACACGATTTTCACCTCTAATTTTTTTTTTGGCAGCAGCAAAATTTTTTGAGACTACGGGGCACAGTAAATAACTTAAATGCAGGTGAAAAGAAATATTATCCATTCTAAGTATGTATAAATTTTAAGACGAAAAATTCTTAAATATTTGAAATTTTGTTTCAATAAACTATTTTTTTAATATTGGATGAGTGCATAAGTTCGTGCCCGATTTCAAGTGCAAACTAAAATTGAAATTTTTTGAAGAAAGCGCTTTTATTAATCAATTATGTATTCGCCATCATGTTCGGCAATCCACTCCCAACGTTCAACCAATTTACGGATGCCTGATTCATAGAAATCGCGCGGTTTCTCGTTGAAA